TTGAAAATGAATGTAGCAACATTCGAAAGTACTCTGCGAAAAAATAATATAAAATAAAATTTAATAATAATTTTTGAAAAATTACCGATGGCACAAAACAACTTATTCAAAAAACTGAAATATTTAATCAAAAATTATAGATAGAATTTGTCCATATTATATAACAAAATACACACAGACACACAAACACACACAGATATATATATATATATATATATATATATATATATATATATATATATATATATATATGCATGCATGTGGTATTTTCTCCTGCTCTCTTTGTTGTTTGATAAGACTATGTCTGTCAGCATCTGATACGACATTTGAACTTTTAGAATTACATTCTTCCTACTGTCTGTCATATAAACTTAATGATAGGCAATAGCAGGAAGAACACTTTAACATTGGAATTTATTTCAACCTGGCCTACCAATAAAATCTCTTGTTTAAAACCAAGAAAAACAACTTCCGACGAAATAAATGCAACGGTTCACTGCAAGACCGACACAAGTGCCGACTGCGGAAGCGATTATTGCCCTGTTATATGTAAGCTAAGAATGAAACTATGGAAGCCGAAGAAGCCTAACGCAGCACCCATTTTAGCAATACAACAAGCTACTGGCCGAAAGAAGATACGAGAGACATAATGGAAATGGAAATTCGAAATTGGACGCACTAAGAGAATGTTTAGTGACATCTGCAAACAATATCATCCCAAAGGAGAATGGACAAAGATGAAAAAAAAAAACGAATGGATGACTGATGAGATTCACGACATGATGCAAAGAAGAGAGAAACCTCTGCTAAGATACGGAATGGAATACAGAAAACTAAACAAGGAAATAAGTACCAAGTGCAGAAAGGCTAAAGAAGGGTGCTTAAACAAAAAATGTGCAGAAATAGAGAGATTGAGTACCACCAACAAAGGAGATATGCATAAACAAATAAGCGAACTAACGACGAGCTCGTCAACGGGATGCGTAAAATGAAAGGATGCTACGTTCATGTTAGACAAGGACAAAATTCTTCAGCGCTGGCACAAATATATCAGAGAACACTTCCCCGACGAAAGAGAATAACCAGCAATACACAGAACTACAGATGAACCTGAAATTCTAAAAAAAAACAAAGTAGAAGCTGCACTGGTGAAATTGAATAGAAACAAGGAGGAAGGGCCAGACGGAATTGTAACAGAAATGTTGACAGCCTTTGATGATTTTGGCATAGACAAGATCACAGAAATTATAAATGAAATCTACATCAATGGGGATATATCGTAATAACTCGGCAGATCTATTTTCATAGCACAGCCTAAGAAACCAGGCGCAAACAAATGTGAACTCCACCGAAAAATCAGCCTAATGAGCCACATAATATATACATATTCTGATGAATAGAACGCGAATCAGTATCAGGCCTCAGATAGGATAAGAAAAGTGCGGGTTCGTTAAAGACACCGGAACAAGGAACGTGATATTCATGCTCACAATGTTATCAAAAAGAGCCATCCAATTGCAGAAGGACTTGCACCTGTGTTTTATAGACTACGCAAAGGCGTTCGATTAAGTATGCCACAAAGATCTCTGAGTGGCTCAGCAACCTTGACATATTTGGGAAATATATTAGAATAATCAAGAACAAATACTGGCAGCAAACGGCCTGCACGCGGATAGAGAATGGGTTCAGAAGATATACAAAAAAAGAAAGGGGCGTAAGGTAAGGATGTCTTTTTTCACCGAACTTATTCAACCTATATAGCGAGGCAATTCTAAGAGAATTGGAAATTCTACCAGGATTCATAATTTGGCAGCCGATGTCAAAAATGACTTACAGTCTGTTGTTAACTGGAACAAGGAATGGATTGTTAAGGAAATTGTTCTTTTTTAATCGCCTGAGAGAAGATCTTTTTAACTTCGATCAGCATTACTGATGCTATCCTACAAGAGAGATATTCATTTTGCCTTCTCAGACTAAAGTTTTATGCTGACATAATATGGTAAAGAGTATATTGAATCATCTGCTAAATCTGCAGCTATGAATGTTGGCTCCCTGTGTCGTGCTAGATATTTTTCCTCACCAGCATCTATCGTACATATTTATATATTTATTCTTCCTCACTTTAATACTGCTGACGTAAATGGTCTAGTGCTCCTTCTATGCATTTAGAGATTCTTGATAAAATCCAAAGAAGAATCTGCAATGTTATTGGTCCTGAGTTGGCATCCCGGCTTCAGTAACTTCCCCACCGCTGTTACGTTGCTTTTCTGTGGCTTTCCTTCTATGGCATATAGTCGTTATAAATTTAAGCGCAGATTTAGATTGACAGAAAGGTCCCATCATCATACGGTTTTAATGGTTACTGTAACCACCAGTTTCATGCTAACAATTTCTTCTACTGTGAATCTTGCTTGTGGGACTCTCTTTCGGCTTCTTGCTTCCCAGTTAGTATCTACTGTATTGTCAATTCTTGTTCTTTTATTGTTCATTCTCCTTAATCGTACATTCACCATATTCTCTAACACACAATAACCACTTGTGTTTTGGTGGCTTTAATGCCTTCATAGGAGTGAATGATTAAATGAAAGAACGACTGACATTATATTTAAATCATGACTGGAAAGCAAGAAGCCCGAAGAGAGTCCCAACGCGAGGTAAAAGCTCTTACAAAGAACTTACAGTTCTAGCCATTTCAACTATAAAATATAATAATAAACTTAAATTCGTAGAATTCACTTACCATAGAAGAATATTCATCCGAACAATAATTATGAAAGTATGTATAGAAAAGGCAAAAGGAAGCTACATTACGGCGTTGGGAAAGTGACTGTAGCCGAGATGTCAAGTCAGAACCAGTGACATTGCAGGTTATATTTTGTATTTTTTTCAAGGGTCTTTAAATATATAACAGGAGCACCAGACCACGTGTAGCAGCAATATTTAAGCACGTTTTACTTTTATATACGCGGTAAAGTGTAGTATTTGATTTTGTAAATAAAATAAACGTTATTGAACATACAAGTAAATTTACTTTTACTGTAAACTTTTACACTAAATTTACGTTCAGATGCATACATCATAATTCCATTCATCACAAAGTTACTGTTGTGAAAAAAAAAAAGCAACCAAGGCTATTTTACCGGTAAATATAAACAGTGTTTACGGATTTAACGTCAGCGCAGAAGTTCTCTGATCCGTGTAAGCAGTACTTGAACACGGGTACTGGGGCATTAGTCTTCAGTGGGTGCACCTGAAGGGTATTGGCAAGAGACCCATACTCAAGGACAGGTTTTGGATTTGCAGAGGCATATATGCCTGAAGTACATAAAATATTTAAAGATGTTTGTATTTCTTTTAATAATTTATGATGAATAAATGATTTTAACTTGTGTTTTAACAATTGATGGCGGAAAAGATTTTAAATTTTCTTAACAATTGATGGTGAAAATAAATAAATTGTGTTAAATCTCAAGGACACATGGCACATTGGATAAATGCGTTGGTTAGATCCAGTGACAGGACCCAAAGAGTGTGAGTTCAATACCCGGTTAAGGCAGTGGATAACTTTCAGAGGGAAAATTAACAGGAGATAACTGATAACTGACATCCATCAAACATGGCACGTGGAACTAGAACAGTCCACCCCAGTGAGCGAAATAAAGGGTTCAGTTCAAAATCCCAACCACCTGAAGAATGCCGGAGCGTACAATGCCCGAAACGTTGTGATAAATATGGCGACAATGATGAGAACAATAGTCCGAATAATGTAAATAATGTACATAATAACTCATCTCAGAAATAGAGACAGACTGTTAAATCTCTGTGTCGTTATTTTTAACATTACCTGAATTCATAGTAATAAAAATATTTACCAGTAAAATAGGCACGGGTTATTTTACAGAGAGCGGTAAAACAAGCTTAAAGCATGTTTCTCTATTTTGCCGGGTCCGGCAAAACAGACTTTTGCAAAATATATATATATATATATATATATATATATATATATATATATATATATATATAGATAGATAGATAGATATATGATAAGAATTTGGAGTTAGAATTTTAATTTCAACTAACTCGCTTTTTATTGCACTTTAATAATATCGTTGTGATTCCATCTATAATATTTATTTCGTCTGAAAATGTTTCTTTTATGAAGAACAATACATCGCAATATTTTTCATTTTGACATTTATTTGATATATATTTTTCAATCATAGTTTATATTTATATAAAAAAAATATCAGTTATCTAAATTATTTAGAAAATATACATCTGTGTTCAAGTGAGTATGGATGGAAAATGTTGCACACGTGATAATCGCATAACTACACGATAAATATTCACCATTACAGAATCACAGACGTAAAAGAATCCTTCGAATATAAGCACCTTTCTCAGATAGACCTCGACAAGAATTCACCGTTTAAAATGCCCACTTCAACAAAGATAACTTTGAAAATATGAAAAGACCACGATAGAATAAACTGCTACTTCAAAATGAAGAATATATTACTTGTAATAGTAATATAAAGTTTAAGAACATAAATATTTTTTTTGATCGAACAACATGATAAAAAAATTTTTTAAATTAATTTCAAAAGGAAGAAAGCAGAAAAAAAAAGCATTCAAAATATAAAAGCAAGTCAAACAAATATTTGCCTCTTACAAACTTGCAATGGAGTATATACAAAAAATTGTTTTCATCTCAGTGTCTTCAATTGGATTCTTTCAATTACCGTCTGGAGAACGTCATTACATAGTCTTATTGCTTTTGTCTGATAGAGTGAATGATGTGTTCATCAATGAGAAACCATCAATGTGCCTTGGCGCATGTAGAAAAGTATGAAATTGTTCATATTATTGTTTTACAATTTTTACCTTTTGTGACAATATTGCATTTATATATATTTTAAATGATATGAAGCGCATCTTGAGATTATAGAAAATGATACGATATTCATAGGTACATATAACTATTCATAATAATGTGTATGCTATATATATAGATACAGATAGATATATAAATACAGATAGATAGATAGATAGATAGATAGATAGATACATTTATGGACATAGATAGATAGATAGATAGATAGATAGATGGACATAAAAAAGATTGATAGATACAGAAACATAGATAGATAGACATAGATAGTTAGAAACCGATAAAGACAGACATTTATGGACATAGATAGATAGATAGATAGATAGATAGATAGATAGATAGATAGATAGATAGATAGATAAAAGATTGGACATAGATAGATAGAAATAGATAGATAGATAGATATAGATAGATAGATAGATAAAAGATTGAAAGATACAGACAGACAAGATACAGATAGATAGATAGATAGAAACCGATAAAGACAGATAGATAAGATATAGATAGATAGATAGATAGATAGATTTATGGATATAGATTTATGGACATAGATAGATAGATAGATAGATAGATAGATAGATAGATAGATAGATAGATAGATAAAAGATTGACATAGATACAGAAACATAGATACAGATAGACATAGATAGTTAGAAATCGATAAAGACAGACAGAAAAGCAGATAGATAGATAGATAGATAGATAGATAGATAGATAGATAGATATAGAAAGACAACTAGATACCCAGAAGGACGGATATCCAGACAGGCAGACAGACAGACAGATAGATACGGATACACATGACCATAGATACCGATAGGCTTAAATAGATAGATAGATAATCAGAAAGACACACACACACATATATATATATATATATATATATATATATATATATATATATATAGAGAGAGAGAGAGAGAGAGAGATAGAGAGAGAGAAGAGAGAGATTGATAGATATGTAGAAATACATTCAGAGATAGGCATACATGGACAGACATGGATAGATAGACATACACAGACACATAGACATACATAGATATACAGAAAACGACAAAATTATTCGTATACCAATCAATTTTGAATATTTTTATCCATTTCTCAGAATCTAATGCCTGTATGATTGTCAGGTATTTTATATGCTAATAAAGACAGAAAAGGAATATAACACTCAATTTTCAGATCAGTAAGTTCAATACAACAAATTTGTCAGGCGAATTATGCAAAATAGGAAAAAACAAACTTATTAGTCCAGTAAAAAATATCAATTTAAATTGATTCGTGTAAATATAAGTAATTTATATAATCATTTTATTGGTGAAGGCTTCTAGACAATTTATTCATTCGAATATCTGTGATAATTCCAACAAAGAACAATACGTGGTGCATAGAGTGTCACCATCGTTATTCTTTCGTTAACAACACGATGGGCAAGACAAAGGATCTTACCGATGACTTGAAACAGAGAATGTTTAACTTGAACAAGTCGAGAATCGTTATAGCACTATTTCAAACCGGTTTGTTGTCCCTAGATCTACGGTACAGTCAGTTATAAAGAAGTTTAAACAGTTTATCACGACAGAGAATTTGCCCGAAAACTCAATTTGTCACCGAGAACTGCCCGAAAACTATGTCGAGAGGTTAATATTAACCCAAGAGTTGTTTTGAAAGTCAATGCCAAGACTTTGGATAGGATCGGTATCAGCAGAACGACTCGCACAATACAGCATTGGTTAAACAGAAATGGGTTGTATGAAAACCGACAACGATGAACCCCACTTCACAAACCTTGTCATATTGTTGCTCGGGTTTACTTTTGTCAAAATGTCCTTGGACATAGAAAATTTCTTTTGGGGGTAAGAGCTATGGTGTATGAAACCAAAATTGAGCTGTTTGGACATAATAATTTACAGATTTAGCGCATGAAAATTTAGCCTTCCCTCCCAAAGAACAGTGGCAACATTAAAACATGGAGGCGGCTCGATGATGATTTGGGGTTGTTTTACTCAAGCAGAACTGGACATTTCAATAATATGAATGAAATCTGAAGACTATATCAAAATTCTGGATGAAAATCTACAACTATCAGCGCAAAACCTTCATCTAGCTCGGCTGTTTACTTTCCAGCAAGATAATGATCTCAAACATACGTCTAAATCAGTGACTGCGCGATATCAGAAAAAAGAAATTTACACTTCTACCATGGCCTTCAATGAGTCCTGACTTGAATCCTATTGAAAATTTATGACAAGAATTGAAAGTTCAAATAAATCGTCGGTCACCACTTGTTCAAAAATTAAGAAAACGATTGCAGCAAAGTATAAAGATGAGAGGCCATGCTACTGACTATTAATATTGTGAAAATTATTCATTCTGTACGATAGATAGAAAAATAGATATACGTAGCTGGATATACATACATACACACATCAATAGGCATAGATAGATAGATAGATAGATAGATAGATAGATAGATAGATAGATAGATAGATAGACATACATACTGCAGTCGTATCGAATTGCCATCATTCAATATACTCAAGACGTCAAACAAAACAAATAAATCATGCGCAGTGTATAATTCTATGCACTCTCATATACCTTTTTACGGACACAGAGAGACAGAAACATATACATTTTTGTGTGTATATATATATATATATATATATATATATATATATATATATATATATATATATATATATACTAATCTGCAAAATCTTCGGCAAGTTTAATATATTTGATATTAAGACATTTTGAGCTAATAATTTGATTTTTTACACCATGTTTTCTACAGAAACAGTGTGTATATTCATATATTTTGCCTACTTCTGACATACACTGATTTATTTTCTTACGTACCGTTATATAGTAATAAAGTTTCGCTGCCGACACTTTAGGTTGAACATAGATCGCCAGTGTTTGCACACTGGCGATCCCATTATTGAATTAAGTGGATCAATTGACCATGGGAGAAATGCATATATGGGAGGTAGCGTGTGTCTTACTGATCTGCATTTCTAGTCTATCCTCTATTATTATTCTGATCGCCATTTCTCCTCTATCCTCTATTACTATACGAACCGCCATTCTTTATACTATTTCTCTATTCGGGTTACTATTCGGTGGTTACCTTATGAGCGAGTATTATCGAGCAAGTACAATTAGTGTGAGTGTTATTCGAGGGCGTCCGACACCAGTATTGTTCAACGGCGGACTATAGTTGTATCTGCGATTACAAAGTCTCTACTACAACGAGCATTATAGAAGGCACATCGTGTATTCGTTGGCCTCAAAAAACGTGCGAATGCGAAAAATATTAAATAAAAGTTTCATCTTTATAAGAGCTAATTTTTTGTGTCTTTAATGAAACATACAGCGTGAATCAAAAGTATCTCTTTGATTCTTTGAAGTCGTGATTTCCTCTGTAGATTATTCATGTCCTCTGTTTCTTTTTCGTAATGGACTTGATGAAAGTTTTTCTGGATATTGAATGGGAAAGCCCGACTGAATGGCCGGCATAGTCCTCAGTCCTAACTCATCCAGATTTCGTTTTGACGGCTCGTGTTTTATGAATATATCACGTTGAAATACCGATTCTCGTTCGATTACTAAAGTTAAGCATCGTCGAATCTAGTCAGACTGCTAGAGAATATCAAATGCTGTAAGCTTGGATATGCAGTTAGTGTAATGGATAAAGGCTTGAAATTGTAATCGGGCGAAACGAAAATCGAGTATCGATATAGGGTCAAGCATATATATACATTATAAAATTATAAAATCAGTTTCCATTTTTCTAGTGTTAGTAAATTGAGAAGAAATGATAGGGGAATTGTAAGACCACCCATTTGGTCTCGAAAAGACATAAGTAAATATACCATAAGAGAAATTGTTTAAGTTTCACAAAATCACAAATTATATACATATACACATATATCGTTACAGAATGAGAGATTGTTAAATATTCATACATTTAGCAGTTAATGTCAGTTACAGATTAATACATAAGAAAGAAAGGAAGAGTATGATCAAGCTTAGAAATGTGTTTACAAGTTTATAACTTATAGCTTATTTGTTCTGGTCTGCTACGAATCTTGCTTGTGAAGATGGTGTTATTGCTTGAGTTCAGCTTTGTAAATTCTGGTTGTTCGGAAGCTGTCTTTCTCAGTCTGCCCGCTTCGTATATCGTTAGAGAACTCTGTTCTGAAGCACTGGTCTTTATGCCTGCCCACTTCGTAAATGCTTAGAGGACACTGTTCTCAATCATTGGTCTGCCATGTATAATGGGTATCAGTTATCAATTATCGAACCACATGAAGGCCGGAGCGTACAACGGCTGAAACTGACATCCATTAGACATAGCATGCGGAACTAGAAAATCTAACCAGCAAGTAAAATAAACGGTTTCCTTCGATATTCCAATCACTTGAAGAAGGCCGGAGCGTACAACGGCCGCAACGTTGTACGAGCAATGTAAATAATGTACATAATACCTCATCTCAGAAATATAGAGAAAGCCTGAAAAATGAATTACAAAGTGTTGTGGTAGGATCCACCTAATTTGCATAGTGGAGTACCGACCATATAAATATGGTTGGTACCGGGAAGAGAGGAAGAAATCAAGAGATTCAACCAGAGACTCTGCCCGACTGCGATTCAGTCAACACATTCTCCAGGAACGGTCTTACCAGGAATATACAAAAGACTATATGTAAATATTGTGTACATTTTCTTGTTTCAATACATTTTGTTCTAAGTACATTTTGTGTTGCATTATTATTCCATGCATTAGTCAAGTTTCAATACAAAGAATCTGAGAATTTGAATCCTAAATTGAACACTAACATTTATTACGTTGAAAGAACATCTCTATCACGGAATCTGGTTCAAAAGCCTATTCATGACAGTATTCAACAACTATTAGGTTGGTGCAAAAATAATGACGTAAGAATGTCGTTTTTTGACGTAGAAAAGTACGTCAAAAAACGACATTATTACGTCATTATTTCTGCACCAACCTAATACATTGTAAGAAAGGATCATCATATGGACGACCAGAAGAAAACTTGCCCTAATGCCCAATGTTGGAAATACAGGAATTGTACCAAGCAACTGAAACTGATAGAATCTATAACAATTATAAGGGAAATACTAACGAAATAAATATCCTAAAAAAATTTTTTGAACCGTTAAAAAATCGTATTAATTCTCGAGTAACACAAATGTTTTTGAAAGGAAACCAGACAAACGAGTTATTTATAAGATATGGATGAAAACAGATTGAAAGAAGATAAAATGAAAACACTGTTGCGGCATGGCTACACAAAACAGGCTTACGACTTGATAATATGATCCAAGATAAAAAAAAAATGGTTGCAACCTGTAAAGTGGGACAAAACACAGGAGGATAATATTCAACTGAAGCTAAAATAAAACGAACCCTCTTACTCTCCCAATTTCTATTGAATATACTACTAATTCCGCTGAACTTTATATTAAAAAATGCATGCAAACATGTTGGAAAAAAATGAACTACTTAATGTACATGGAAGGTACAAAGATTTGTGGGATTATAAACGAACTCGTTAATCTCATACAGACAGAAGGTTCAGGCACCGGATAGAAATGGGATTTATCATTGAGAGTTCAATTTTAGTACGAAGTGATGCTGCAAAGTTCGTTGTCCGACTAAGAATGGATGGATATATTATCATGAATATTACATGCAACTCTACATCTTTGTATTGCAATGCAACACAATGAATACATCGTTCTTCGTGTATATTTAACACGCCCAGAATAGAACATCTCGTTTTTTGGTCATTGAAATAGTGCTACGCTGATTCTATAACCTTTGTTTTATTTAAAAAAAAAAAGAATCACCCCAATCAATATGGAAATGCCACTCCGACGCAAGAGTTTACAAGAATTAAAAGTGAAAGTGCAGATTGAGAATAGCGAGAATTGAGGAAAGGACAAAGCATGAAAAGGGTTTCAGAAGACAAAAGATGGCGATTGACGTTATATTTAAATTTTTGAAGATTGTATTTATCAGGAAAGCAAGGAAACGGAAGAGAGTTCTACAGGTGGGAAATTCAAGAAAAGGAACTGTTAGAGTAGAATTAGTCAATCAAATGCCAATAAAGGCAAGAATTCGGTCTACCAGGGAAAAATCTCGTTGCCATTTGTAGAACAGACAGAGGGAAGCCACGTCATGTCAGTTAGAAATTGATCGATTATATGATAAAAACCTCGTGATGTACAAAAGGTGCACCAGTCCAGGCAACACTATTCAATGCACGGACGAATGGTAGATTTGTAAATGTGCAAGATGGATTCTGACAAGAAACATTTATTGACACAGTGACCCAACTTTCCTTGCAAGTAAATGCAGCTAATAGGAAACATTATAAAATTTAGTCAATGTATTGACTCAAACAGCAAAAACGTCTTTCCAGCCCTATGAACACCTGCATTGATTAACGGAGTTTCTCTAAGTGTTTATTTTAATTTTAGTGGAGTTGTTTTAATTTAACTATTTTGAAAATATGCCTTCGAAAAACCGAACAAAGTAATAAGAAACAGGAAATTTTCACGAGAAAAATAAAATAATGCTAAGGTTGACAGTGAATTTTGGACAATTTCTTCGCAGATGAAAAAAAGGGACTAGAAGCAACAAAGTATGTTTTTATAAAGAAAGTTTGGGAGAATTCCATCAATGGAACATGAGAAAAGCGAGAACTTTTTAAAAAGAATATATAAATGCAAAAGACACTTACACTTAAAAGGACTTAGTTGGAATTCTGTCAAAAGATAATAAAGTACTTGAATTCGTTGGTTTTGTTCAGCGGTATATAGACTCCTATTGGTTGTTGAATCTAAATGTTTTAAACACAGTTTTTTGGTTTCAACTAAAAATACGTTGAACGGAAATGCATGCCTTCAACTACAGATAAAATGTAATTCTATTATAAAATGTATTGTTGGTCATTTTGGTATTGGTAAGTTCTTATATAAAAATGTATTGCTGGTATTTTTACTATAAAAATGGACTTTTATATTTTCATAGTGTTTTTTTTTTTTTTGTTTGGGACACTATTTTGCCCTAGTTGGGACTCTTGTAAGGCTGGATCTTGGAACATCAGCAATTTAGAGGCGTTTCCACGCTCCTCAAACCCCCCAATCTCTCAATTGTTGCCGGATGTAGTTTATCGTCATACTCTGGACTGAGAGTGCCTGGAGAATTTAATACTCACAAGTCACAATAAATGCAAAAGTGTCAGAGGAGAAACAGCGAGAAATACACATAAACGGGTCGTAAGAAAGTGACTGAAAAGAATAGTAAAGTGAGAAATATTCTTTATAGTTATAAAGGACTAGAAGTTAAGGAAGGAAAACAAAAAAAAATCGTCTTTAATTTTCCTGCAGACTTTCTTTTTTTAAATTTAGCTTAAATTCAGGGAGAACCTTTATGTTACTTGTGTATGAACTATTTCTTGAACACTGAATCAAAATGGTGTAGCCAA